GACCTGAATGGATGGCTGTACCACCTCTGGTCAAGTCAGGCATGCAAATTGTTAATCCTCATGACTTTACACAGCTCTGACATTGAACGATTTGTCAGCACAACTGCAGCGTTCTGAGGCGGTCTGCTAGCCTTCGACACCGATGTCCAACATTTTTGTGAGGCACTATTTAACGCTCCCCTGTTCTCACTAGACGGAATAAGTCAGGTGGACCATACGCTAAATAAATACTCGCACAAGTGACTATGATGATGATGGCGAACAGGTCACGAACCACCACCACCGCTATTGTCAATGCGCAATGTTGGACTCCCGAAAATATTCAAATACCTTTCTGCTGGATGGTAAATAAATGGATTTGGACTTTTCTGATAAGCTATTTTATCATTTACAGGGAGCTTCTTCGTAAATTTGCAAGTCAGGTACATGCTAAGATTGTTGCTTGCCATCGCCTTCATGACACGAGCACATTACATTGTTTGATTACCAGTTTAAATTACGTTCACTAAGATAACTACACTACCCTGGCCTTATTCGAATGGCCTGTATACTATGCGAACAAACTCTGTCCCTTCAGTTTGGTAAATCTACAGATTCTGATCAAGTATTAAGACTCCTTTTGTTCATAGGGGAGTCTGAGGACTCTTTGATGCGTGTCATTACCTCTACTTTAGTTTGCTATTTAAAAAAGAGTGGCTACTGATTTTTATAAGTACAAGATTTTTAAGGATGTCTTTTTAACGTTCATTATGTCTACATCTCATACCCTTGCATCAATTCAGAATCAACCGATTCACTTATAAGTCATTTAAATTTTCCCAAATCAACCTTGACATTCAAGATTATAGCATGCTTGAATGGGCCAACGTTCTGGGCAATAACATCTTACCGAATTAAAGAATAACAATCCTCCACTTTTTGCTATTTTGCTGTTAATTTTACCGTTGATGTCTGTTTATGAGTGACAGCAGTAGTGTGTTTGACTTTGTTATGCATCAAATCAAGAAATCACCTTCAGTTAAAACCTGGTGATCAAGTTCATCCAGATAGACTTGGCAATAATAATAATGTTTTATTGCTTTCAAAAAGGTCAGCAAACGCCAATCAGTAGTGCGTACCGCCCCCTCACTTCCTTCATGCTGCCAGGATAATAATAGGATTTAGTGGTAGACGAAGTCCAAAGTGCGTGACTGCAATCGCACGGGGAACAAACGCCAACCAAGTCATGTTCTTGTGCGATTGGCTATCCCACTGCTTGGGTGTCATCATTTATCACCTTCCATGAGGGGAGTGCATCGTCAAATACCACTGGTTCACAGGTATTGGGAGAGTTAAGTCACCGACTGTGCATGTCCGAGATCCCTAAGTTGGACAAAAGAAGTTACTTGGATCAATGTTCCATATAAAAAGGCGTTAAAAACTCTTTGATGTGTAAAGTGGGTGGATCCAGGGTGCGTATACTACTGACAAGTTCAACTAAATGTGGCACTAGTGGAATAGAAAAATGCCCAGTGCTTTCCGATGCCTCACTTTCACGACCTCTTCGCCGCGTCCACACCTAGCACGAGAAGGAGTAGTACTTTGAGCAGCATTTCTTACCAACAGAGTTGTGCCTATGTCGATCGCATTGCTTTAGTCAACAAAACATTCACTGTCTTTCTGCTGCCCCGAAACCCCCTTTTAGATGATAGAGGCAACAATTTCAGCCAAAGCGTGGCATTCAGAGTGGCTTTGAGACAAGTCGATTCGCCTCAGGCGACCCTGTCGCCTAGGTGATCGCGTTAAATGAATTTGTAGTCAAGTGACGTATTACTTAGGTCCTCTCTTTACAGCCAACTCCGAGGCGTTTCCCTCGAATAACCTTTTACGACTCACCAACCCTCAGAGCCAGCAACTGAGGCAGGACACTTGACCTCAGCACCGCGACCTCGCTCAGCGGCTTCACCTCAAGTGGGGAATCTTCCGGCTTAATAAAAGAGGACGAATTTGGCTTCTGTTGACTCTCTCATGTGTGTCCACGGTGAGACGGCGTCACGTCAGTGTATGAGATTTCGCACCCATTTTCCCCTTGTCTACGGCTACATGCGGGTGTGATGGTGTCACTGCGACGTAAAACCCTGCCAGATGATCGGCAGGAGGTGATGCTTCCGTGTTATCGGCTCTGCCACGGAACACACGAATGATGCGGACGCTGTAATGGTGGAGGCAGTGGCACTTCCACTGCTAAGGTTTGCCACAAACAGTGGAAAGGAGGATGGAAGTTCTTCCAAAGTTGAGCTTGCATTCTCCAGCCACAGTAGTTGCGATGGTAGGCAAAAGAGACGGAGGTTTCGACATTGGTTCGCAGGCCAATCCACCCGCCAAAGCAAGAAAGTTCCGACGATTGGCAGAACATAGTCAATTTTGTAAAATTTCCTTTCAAAAATGTTTAATTAAAAAACGAAAACAGTCGCGTTCGAGGGTTGACACGACCGCAGATCGACAACGCCTACAGCTCGGAGGGAGCGTTTACGACCGAGGCGGATTCAAATCTGCCTCCATCGGTTTCCCAGGTGTGACAGACGCTGACACCGCTGAACCAAAGCACTCACTTCCGAAAGGTGATGCAACTAACAATGACAAGTAGTTGACAGAGCTCAACAAAGTGGCACTTCTCCGCAGACAGAAAAATCAAGCCAAGTGGTGCTAGAGCGTGGGCCAAGTTGGAGGAGTCATTTTCATAAAATTGTAGCCTTTTTTTCTCCTAATCAAGTAATTAATTATGCAAACAAAGAAGAGGGAATTTGTTTAATTGGTCAAAGATAATGTGGAAGAGAAGTGCTTGTTTAAATTCGCTTTAATGATGCGGTTGAATGAGGGCCAAAGTTGGTCCTTCAAACGGCTTCCCTCGAGGCGATTCACCGATGCCGTGGCAACCCCAGACGCCAATTTCTGTTCTTATAAAGTAAGTTATGTGTTTTGAGATACCAAAAAACAGATATTTCGGTGTCCTTCTTGCCCTCGGCTCCGTGAACTGGGTTTCGAGGCAAGCCACAGTCCGTCCACCTTCTCTCTCCTCCCTGAACGTAAGCATTCAGCCTTGTCGAATGCTTTCCCACCGCCTAGTGGGAAGCCTCGCATCGCCACACTCGTGGCAGTGGAATGAAAACTCCGCTTTTGGCAACAACTTTCATTCGCATTTCCACCGTGTTTGACAAACTTCTGGAACGCGAATTAAGCGTGTGTAGTTTGACTGGAAGGACGTTGACGTTCTCCGCAGCAAAAGGGATGGTGCACGACGTCTGTGTTTTGCAGCTACCGAATTTCCGTGTCTTACCGCGCTGTTTACCACCTGGAAGAGATTTTATGTTTACGATTTTCCTTCTCGCATTCGCGTCTCGATGTTGGCCGATGGTACAACAATGAAGGTGTGTGTTCGATTCAATTTTGCACCGCCACGCATCTCATTTAAACCAGCATTCCAATGTCGAGCTGCTGATAACAACAGACCTACTCGCCCCTCATTCTCGCTTTCAGATCAAACGGAAATGTAGCCACTAAGAGGACCAAGTACAGTTTCTCCCTCGCATGGAAGTTGACGACCACAGCGTCAGCATTGAGGTAAACGACGTGGACATGGATCGAAAGACGACAATGCCTTGTTAATTTGCCCACCTGTAAGACTGGCTGTTGCCATCTTGGTCCACGGCAAAGTCCCATCTCTTCCCCACCACCCTGAAGCCCACGTCACAGCACGTGACAGTGACCACCTCGACATTCCGTTTTCGCTGCTGAGCTTGACATCACTCGAACAAGGTGTCAATTGAGTCGCTCAACCTCACTTCTGTTGTGCCAACTGTGCTAAAATTGTAACCAAACTTAATCCCTCCTACTTTGCAGCTAAGACCATTCCCTTTTTAACGGCTACTCTTCGAAGGGAAATTATTCGCTTAAATAACAAAAACTCCCCTTTTAGTTGTGCTGCCAGGAATTGTCTGATGCAGTGTAAACTAAGAGATGTGTATTTTTCATAAAAACGGAATGCCACTCCTTATGCAGCTGCTTTGGGGAGGCCTTTACTGCCAGCCATGAATGTTACCGGACTGCAGAAGTCGCCAAGTCCACTCGACTGAATTGCACCTCTAAGCATTGAGGGAAATGTCAAATGCCCTGTCCAAATGCCTCCATGTTTATGGAACTGCTTTGACAACTTGTCTGATTGCATCACTTCTTCTCATGCAACAACAACTGGTACAGTGGATGATGGTGAATGAGACAGAGGGAGACAGGCAGGCCTCTGATGCTGGTACTGCCCAACTAAGTGGATTTAAATTTCTACTAATCTGTGCATTTCCTCCCAAGAACACACTTGAGGCCCAACCGCAGTTGTGGACAATTAATCAAGCCACTTAAGGCATCCACTTGACATCCCAATCAACAGTATTAAAGGATCTTGTGAGGTACAAGGAGACTTTCTGTGCCGTACAGCAGAAGAGATACTTCAAAGGTCTTATCCTTATTCTTGTCTCTTCCAACCAGACCGCAGCTGTTCCGCAATGCCCATAGGGTCAGGAATCACGGATAAACAGAATTACCTGCCTTTGTCCGGTTGAGCTATTTCTATGGAATCCTTTAACAAAGATGCTACACGCCTAACAGAAATGACTCCCTTCATATATCAATTAATGTTTACTGAAATCCCTGGATTAATGATTTATGAAAGGATATGCTTAAAAATTTTACTCCTGGGGTGATAATTGATTACTGCTTATCAATGGCCGTTGAGATATAAAAATTCGCAAAAGTTCACCTAACTTTAAGCGAATCCATATGAAATGGAACAGATGAAGCGCTGTAAATTCCATCAGTCTCATGCTGGCCAATCAGAACATGACCTTGATGTCTACTCGAATTGCCCAATGGGCAATGGCCACGTGAATGATAATCGCATGGTGTGAGCAGACAGCGAGTGGTTGTTGGACTTTGCTCGTGGTACTGTAGCAACTGACGGCATGCAGTAGATGTGGCTGTTTATTCTCCTCTTCTACCTTTTTCCTTTGCGTGCGGAATTACAGGAGGACCTTTTGTTTAGATCTGGAGACTACGCGATCTACTGTACAAGATTGGACAAGTTTGGGAACTGTTCAGCTCTTCGCATCGACTCCTCAAAGAATGATTTTAAGGAACCGTCAGCCTCGCGAAACTCGACCAAGTTCGCCCTGGGAAGTACGTACATAATTCCACTTATATTTGGTTTCATTTGGTAGGTCAAATCAGCTAGAAATGGATGTATATTTCAGACATTTTGTAAGGTGGTATCCAAAACCTCTTCGGGATAATCAATCGTCCCAAACTGCTAAAAACCTCCTGCCAGCGCTTTACTCTGCCCAGTGGCAAAAAAATAACGGATAGAGCGAAGAAGCCAGCCCGTCACTTTGATGCTGCTTAAGATGCAAGTGTCAAACCCCTAATTTCACAACAAACTGTTTCATCTGTGAAAGTCACGAACATATTTGTTAAACTTTTCACTTTCTCCACTGCCAATTCTGGTGTTTCTTCATCTGCATGTCAACAAACTACATTTGTCCAACTGTCCCTCGACGAGTCTCCATCTTGGCCGCAGTAGCAGTTGATGCATTTCAAGAACTAACATCGGCTTCGATAACTTCATTTCTGCTCATTCACTTTGTGTTTGAAAGTTGTCATGTTAAGCAGCTAAAACCCTAGTATTCCTTCTCATTGTTGAAGTTCTGTGATTATGCAAAGTAACATTTATGTGGGCGTTTGTCCTAAGCCACTTTTTTGGTGGGTTTGGGATGCAGGCAATCTTATATGAAGGCATGTTTTTTTTGCTCTACGAATGGTTTATCACTGTGATGTTCCCATTTGTGGATACTGGAAATTGCAGCATCCCTGCGACCGAGGACAAATGCAAGACTAGAGGCAATAGTACTGAAGACGCGAGAGATACGATGTAACGCCTCATATCTCGTTTCGTAACTGCGTTTAGTGGAGATAGAAACGTAAAAATACCTCTAACTCATCAGGTCTTTGACGTAGGTAATGAATGAAGATGGTTTGCCCTCCTGGATCACGTAGTATGTCTGGATTCCGCTTTGCGTGGGTTGGGAAGCAAAGGGATGTGACCACTTAAGTAGTATGTATGAACTAATCATTGAAGGAGGTTTTATGGTACTCAGAACTGAAATTTGACCAGGATGCATCTTTCAATGCATCGAGTTAAAGTTTTGTCTTGTAAATGTATGTCTATCTTTTCCTGTAAGATTGGCGGTGCTTTTCACTGTTGCCTGAGGTGAGGCGACACTCTGACTCGTCAACTACTTTATCCAACGTTTTTCTCAGTTACTCAGGCCCTTCCTCCACATTCCCCAAACTAATCCTGAGCCGTCATTTACTCGTAGCTACAAGTTCAATGGCAGACAATCAACGTGCATTGAGTTTACAGTTGCCTTGGATCCAGTAGAGGGAGAAGTTTTTAAAATTTTAGCGCTATCTCTAAGAGCAAGGGCCACAGTTATCTCGTCGACCTAACTTTTGGTAGCACTAAAGTAGTGGCAGTAGTGACAGTCAGGTATCAGTCAATCGGCCTCTACCGTAGCCTCTCCCTTGTCGTCGTCCGAGTCCCTCCCACCAACTTCTTCAGGCACTTTTTACAAATTATGGACGGTAATACAGGAGCTATGAGTGGAAAGGCGATGCCTGCGACTGTTCAAGAGCAGCATCCGTCTGACTTCCCGCTCCTCACCTACGGGGCATATTTTAAGCAACTCACTTGTTTTTCATTCACTCTCTGATCAGACTAGCACAAACCAATCTCGCACGGGACTTAGGAAAGCATGAAGTTCATTTCCAGCTCAAATTTTTATAAGTATCAAATGTCCTCGAGGATGTACGTTCACTCCCTACTACTGCTTGCGTGTTCATTTACTTGCTCTACCCTTAGACTACATAGAAGCCTTTAATTCTCTCCTCCTTAGTCTCTGTTTATGGCCAAAGTTGAGGTGCGGTTTTGATGGTGTCTTGAACTCCTTCATTAGTGCATAAGTAGGAAAATGGACAGAATCATCGTAATTTTGGGCATTTAGAATGGCTACTCAATTAACACCTCGAACGGTCACGTGGAATTCGGCCGTGAGTGTTACTGGTTGATCTGTGGGTCTGCATAATCCAAGTTCTATCCACCGAATCGAATGACGAATGCAATTAGGGAGTTTGAATGAAGGGAAACATTCACCCATAGCAAAGTGTAGGAGCAGGGTAGCCTCAATACACAAATTTTGACACAAACGTGTATTTGCCCATTTTGGATTCCACACATGCCCGTCCAATCGATGGCCGTGAATGTCCGGACGCTTCGAGTGCACGCCTGCATTTGTGCACCCACGGACGGCCACACAGGCACACTCTTGTTTCTAAAAGCAGTCATTCCATTGATAGATGTCATTCCTTTTCCTCCCGGTTACATTTTGCAATCAGGGGTTTAGCGTCAAAACGACGCAATCAGTTGTGTGCAGTGGTTCAAGCTCCTTCTTCCCTCCACCCACCATCTGGAACACTGATTGTGGGAGCTATTAATGCCTTGTATGGAAGCGACTGATGGCCTTAATGGCATTCTCTAACGAGTAGGTAAGACGCCTGTGAATTGCACGCTATAGTAGGGAAGGCGGAAATAATTATACACCAACAGCAAGGTGTTTCACATATTGCACTAAGAGCCCTGTCCTCTTTTCCACTTAGCCTTCAGTCGCCCACGGCTCTCCTCACGCATGGTTCGCCGCGATGCTGAAATGTTTGAAGTGAGTGTTAGGGAAGAGACGGAAGATGTGCGGAAGCTAAAAACTGCCCACGATGAGGTTGAGTTCTTCTAGACCCTCAGACAGATTGGTGGTGCTCTCTGCAATGGCCGTGTTGTGGACCTAATGGAGGCTTCTAGTAAAGACGCCTCTTTTCAGCTGTGGCTGCAAAAAAAATAGTACAAATTGCAAGGCAAGCTCCAGTTCCGAATGGGTGGAACTTTTGATCCTTCTATTATCTCCACAAAGGCACTTTCCCTGGCTAGGCAATGCCTTAGTAATAACACCTTAATGGAACCACTCCATTCCCACACCGATGTGGTTTTCACTGTAACCCTACAGCAATTGCTAGCCTCCTCGATACTTTTTTTTGTTCTTTTTCTTGTTTGAAAGACAAAAAAACCTTCAGACTCGCTATTTTGTACGTCTGACAAGGCGCGCTACTCTTTGTCACCAACTACTTGTCCACCATCGTCGTGTCCATGACAAAACAACGCATTTTTTTCCGAAGCCAGCTCTGCCAACACATGACAATTGCCTCTATTTTTCATCCACATATTTGCATATGTTGGAGGAAGGTTTTTTGGAGGAAAGGCCCTATCATCTTATTGTGCAATTGCTATAGCGACCGTCACAGTTTAAATTACAGCCATCTAGTCAGTGACTCACCTCCGGTTTCTGTTGCCATCAGCCCACTTCCAGACTGGCTGGCTGACTAGTTTTTATTTTCCAAAAATAAAAAAAAAAA